GTGAAACTCAAATCTGCTCACCTGTTCCTATAAATTGAAGCAGTTCGTTCGAGCAATGAGGCTTTATCCGGCAAAATATGATAGGTTGGCTGTCCCAAAGCCTCCAGCATAGGATCATCTGATCTGAAGATTGATGACTTGCACAGGTAATCGAAAATCACCGAGGCAAATCTTCCTGCATCATGATAAAATGGAACGTCAATTTCTCAAATTCAATGTGCTGTCACATGCACTAACAAGTCTTTTGCTGCGATTGTCAGCAGTACGAGTAAACATGCTACATTTGAGAGGCATTTCTAATGAATAACTTAGTAACTTATTATTGAGGAAGTGTCAACTCTTATTATTAGAACACTTCATTCTTGATGAACGTTCCATGCATATGTAATTCACATTCTCAGAACTTTTATGATAATTTGTTTCCGCTTGACATCAATATTGATCCGAGTTAAAAACAAAAAAAAATTGCTTGGAACAACGATTTGATTATGCATGAGCTATAATGTATCATAACAGCAAATGAATCAGTGTATTTAGCTTCTTATATGCGGAAATACATTCACTCAAAACAGTGACACCCTCAGCAACCATATTTGAGACGAACGTCGAGCACTCTCTGCAATAAAAGCAGCCTCAAGAAAAGTCGAAAACCTTACTGTGCTTCAACGATTCGATAATCACCCAGCAGTGCTTCCTTGGTTGCTTTCGTGACATGAACGGCTCTGAAAATTAACTCCTTCATTCACTTTTCACCAGGCAACAATCAGATTTCCCATTAAAAATGCATGGAAAACTACTTCCCTGGGGCGAAAACAATCAAAAATTACAACAATGAAGTTTTCTTCCTGAATCATTGTGGAAAATGCAGAGATCAGAAATTGTCTAAATATTTTTTTCGGATTGTTGTTTTAGCAAGGGAAAGGAAAGGAAAAGAATTCGTTGGAGATGGACGAACAGACCCAGGAACTCCGGCTGATTCCATACGATTCGCTAGCGTCACATCATCACTCCAGATGTCGAATTGCCATTTGCGTAGACCCAAAACACCGCAAAGTACCGATCCGGTGTGCACACCAATACGCATGTTGACATCAACTCCGGTTGCTAATCGCACTTGCCTTCAAAATCGCCAACTAGAAATCTCCTATTTCTGGAGCTTAGAAGGATGCAGTGCCAGCTTTCGAGGAATGAATGACATATTG